ACTGTGTGAGCTCATGCATACGTAGAATTTAAGAAACAAAACAAATGAGCAAAGGGAAAAAAAGAGAGAGAGGCAAACCAAGAAACAGACAAAATGATGGTCACCAGAAGGGAGGTGGGTGGGAGGATGGGTGAAAAAGGTGATGGGGATTACAGAGGGCACCTGTTCTGATGAGCACTGGGTGTTGCATGGAAGTGTTGAGTCACTATATTGTACACCTGAAACTAACACACTGTATTTTAATGAAATGGAATTAAAATAAAAACTTAGGGGTGCCTGGCTGGGTCAGTTGGTACAACATGTGGCTCTTGATCTCCAGGTTGTGAGTTTAAACCCCACATGTGGCATGGAGTTTACATAAAATTAAATTAAATTAAATTAAATGAGGGATGCCTCAGTGGCTCAGGAGGTTAAATGTCTGCCTTCGACTCAGGTCATGATCTCAGGGTCCTGGGATCGAGCCCCGCATCAGGCTCTCTGCTCAGCAGGGAGCCTGCTTCCTCCCCTCTCTCTCTCTGCCTGCCTCTCTGCCTACTTGTGATCTGTCAAACAAATAAACAATATCTTAAAAAAAATTAATAATCTATTTCTAAGCCCTTAAATGTTACTTTCATTCCATTATTCTCTTGTTAAAATGTATCAAATATATACTCTACCTTTCAAGGTTCTTATAATCTTTCATTTTCCTAGTTCAGCATCATTTTCATAATTTCTTTTTTTTAAAGATTTTATTTATTTGACAGAGAGAGGAGAGAGACAGAGAGAGCATAAGCAGGGGGAGCAGCAGAAAGAGAGGGAGAACCAGGCTGCCCACTGAGCAAAGAGCTTGATACAGAACTTAATCCCAGGACCCTGGGATCATGAGCTGAGCAGAAGCTTAACCACTGAGCCACCCAGGAGCCCTTAATAATTTCTAACAGACATCCTCTATTGCAGGAATTTAGAATAGATGCCTTGTGGCTCCCATAGATAAAACGTATTCATCCTGAATATGTCCTTTCAGTGTGGCTGTTTTCTCTATGAACTCCTTCATCCTCCTGCTGATCTAAGCAATCCCACTCCTTTAAGATTTTCCTCTCCCAGAAAAACATGACCCTAAACTCCAACTTTTAGTACCTTTCTATTCTTACTATAATTTTGGTTAATACTACAGAACAGAGACTACCTTATACTCTACTGTGTTGCTGTGGTGCTTATAGGTATTAGTACTCTCTTCCCAACTAGATGGTAAGTTTATTTTTAAAGAAGATTTTACTTATTTATTTGTCAGAGAGAGAGAGAGAGAGAGCACAAGCAGGGGGATTGGCAAGCAGAGGGAGAAGCAGGGTCCCTGCTCAGTGAGGAGCCCGATGTGGGACTCAATCCCAGCACCCCATGATTATCACCTGAGCTGAAGGCAGTCACTTAACCAACTGAGCCACCCAGGCGTCCCATGACTAGATAGATGGTAAGTTTATTACAATCTATATTGTGGTAGAATCTGCTACCCCAAAATATGCCACTTAGGAATAAGAATTATTTTGAGCTAAAAGCACTTAAAAAACAGCAGATACCAAAAGAGTGACCTTCCGTTTCTTCCTGGAAGCAAGAGATAAAAATCCCATGTGAAAGCTGTCCTCTGCATAGGAGGAAGAAAGAAAACATTCTTATCACCAGAGATGGGGAGTGGAGGCTGAGAGGAATCTGTACAAAAAGACCTCACTAAAATAACTCATCCCTCCTTTAGTCTCCCCATATATCTTAGTTGTGTTTCCACACTGCCTCTCTTTGCTCAACACAGTATAAGAGCATTTCGGTCTTGCCATTTCCTCATGAGAGTTCCCATGTCACATAGAACTTGTATTAAAACAATCCCATTTACAATGCACCAAAAGGAATAAAATACCTAGCAATAAACCTAACCATGGATGTGGAAGACCTATAGTGTGAAAACTACAGAACACTGATGAAAGAAACTGAAAGAGATACAAACAAATGGTAAGCTATCTCATGCCTATGGATTGGAAGAATAAATATGAAAATGTCCACACTACCCAAGGCAATCTGCAGATTCCATGCACTTTCTACCCAAGTACTAACAGCATTTTCTGCAGAACTAGAATAAATAAACCTAATATTTGTATGGAACCAAAACAGATCCTAAATAGTCAAAGTAATCTTAAGAAAGAAGAAAAAGGTGGAGGTATCACGATCCCAGATTTTAAGATGTACTACATAACTATAGTAATCAAAACAGTATGGTACTGGCCCCCAAACAGACACGGATCCATGGAACAGAATAGAGAGCCCAGAGTAAACACAACTCTAACAGTCAGTTAATCTATGACAAAGGAGGCAAGAATATCCAATAGGGAAAAGACAGTCTTTTCAATAAAAAAATGGTTTTGGGAAAACTGGACAGCAACATGTGAAAGAATGAAACTGGACCGCTTTCTCACACCGTACACAAAAATATACACCAGATGGATTAAACACCTAAATGTGAGACTATAAAATTTCTAAAAGAAAAAAACATAGGCAGGAATCTCTTGGCTCAGCAACATGTTTATGGATAGGTCTCCTCAAATAAGGACAACCAAAATAAAAAGCTTTTGCATAGCAAAGGAAGTCACCAACAAAACAAAAATGCAACCTCCTAAATGGGAGAAGAGATTTGCAAATGATATACCTGTTAAGGGGTTAATATCCAGAGTATATAAAGAACTTGTATAATTCAACACTGAAAAAAAGTAAGTAATCAGATCTAAAAATAGGCAGAAGACCTGAATAGACATTTTCCCAAAGAAGACATACACATGGCCAACAGACATATGGAATGGTGCTCAATATCACTCATCATCAGGGAAAAAAAAAAAATCTAAACTACAATGCGGTATCACCTCACACCAGTCAGAACGGCTAGTATCAAAAAGACAAGAATTAACAAGTATTGATGAGGATGGGGCAAAAGGCAATCCTCGTGCACTGTTGGTGGGAATATAAATTGGTGCAGCCAATGTGGAAAACGGTATGGAGGATCCTCAAAAAAATTAAAAACAGAAATACCATAAGGTCCAGTAATTTCATTACTGGGTATTTACCCCCAAACTAACACAAATCCAAGAAAATCCAAGCACCTCTCTGTTTACTGCAGCAGTATTTATAGTTGCCGAGACATGGAAACAACCAAATATGCATTGATTGATGAATGGATAAAGATGTGGGATGTGTGTTTGTGTGTGTGTGTGTGTGTACTATATACATGTATAAATGGAATAGAATATTATGCAGCCATAAAAAAGAATGACATCTTGGGGTGCCTGGGTGGCCCAGTGGATTAAGCCTCTGCCTTCGGTTTGGGTCATAATCTCGGGTCCTGGGATCGAGCCCCGCATCAGGCTCCCTACTCAGCAGGGAGTCTGCTTCCCCCCCACCCCCCGCCTGCCTCTCCACCTACTTGTGATCTCTGTCAAATAAATAAATAAAATCTTAAAAAAAAAAAAAAAGAATGACATCTTGCATTTGTGACAACATGGGTGAACCTAGAGGGTATCATGCTAACTGAAATGAATCACACAGAAGACGACAAATACCATATGATTTCACTTATATGTGGAATCTAAAAAACAAAATAAAGGAACAAGCAGACACTTAAAAACAGAGAACTGGTGGTTGCCGAGGGGTCGGTAGGGAGATGCGTGAAACAGATAAAGGGAATTAAGAGTACAAACTTTCAGTTATAAAACAAATCACAGAGATGAAAAGTACAGCACAGGGAATGTAGTCAATAATATTGTAATAACATCGTATTCTGACAGGTAGTAACTACACTTATTGTGATGAGCACTGAGTAATATATCAAATTGTTCAATCAGCATGTTGTACACCTAAAAGTAATATATTATCAATTATATTTCAGTAATAAAATGACCAAATAAATGTGCATATTTTCATCCTGTTAATCTGTTTTATGTTAATTTAATTATGTCACAGCCAAAAGATAAAACTCCCCTACAAGGTCTTCTAAGTTTTACCCATAGCATCTTTTTTTTTTTTTTTAAGATGTTATTTATTTATTTGACAGACAGGGATCACAAGTAGGCAGAGAGTCAGGCAGAGAGAGAGAGAGAGAGAGAGGAGGAAGCAAGTCACTGCTGAGCAGAGAGCCTGACGCAGGACTCGATCCCAGTACCCTGAGATCATGAGATTTATAGGAGCTTGTTAAGGGAATCAATCCGAGGATATTATTTCAGCGGTTTCGGTAAATCCAAGAATCCTTGTGCAATAACGATTGTATCCTCCAAGAACGAAGATAAAGCCACATGATAAGATGCAGCAGATACAATTGGTTTCTTCAACATTGTTATTAGCACCCCCGGGCCATTCTCATTCCAGGCTAAGGTAAGAACCTTCATGTAGACAATGGAGCAGATTTAGTCCGCAGTTTAGAAACCCTGAGTGCAGGAGAGTGACTGGTATTACCATTCTAACGCATTTCCCATCAACTAGGCTAAAGAATGTAGGGTGGAGGTGCCTGGGTGGCTCAGTGGGTTAAAGCCTCTGCCTTCGGCTCAGGTCATGATCCCAGGGTCCTGGGATCCAACCCCGCATGGGACTCTCTGCTCCGCAGGGAGCCTGCTTCCTCCCCTCTCTCTCTCTGCCTGCCTCTCTGCCTACTTGTGATCTCTCTCTCTCTGTCAAATAAATAAAATCTTTCAAAAAAAAAAAAAAAAGAATGTAGGGTGGAAAGCAAAAACTCTAAAACATGAGAGCACATTATCAAAACATGAGACACAGTTATGGGCCACTGGGAAATGAAGCCATCAGAAATGGCAAGGTCAGGAGTATCACTCCCCAGCGTGAGAAGCCCCTGTAACATAACAGTCTTTTCAAACATGTGAACATGCAACTGTCAATGGATCGCAATACACGTGAAGACTAGTAATAGCACATTTTCATATAAGGTATCATTAATAGAAACTTTAACTTAGTTACAGTTAAATTTTTAATGAGAAACTTACCTTGCAGAACTTGACTTCTGCCTCTAAATGATGAATGTATTGAGACTGGTCATTGACGATAGGAACGAGATTGTATACAGTAGGCATATTGGCTTCCTCGTACTCTGATGACCTCTAAGGCAAAAAAAAACCCAAAAACAAAAACACCCCCCCCCAAAACTAAGCATGTTTGGAGTTAGCCAAGAATCAGGTAATACCACCATACCATGTCTATACTCAATTTAGTACTGATGTCACAAAAACATAGGGTAGATCACATTGTGGCCAGTAGTATTTATGTCTCTAGTCTATAAATTCCACAGATAGATAAAATAGATAAGATTCAGGTGTGAATATCTTTTTTTTAAAGATGGAAAGTGAGAGTGGTCATAAAAACTTTGTGGCAAATGGAAAAATGCTGGTGTAGTCTCATTGGCTTGGGGTGAACTGCCTATCAGAGCCATCTGGAAATGTGACACCCCATTCAGCAATGGGGAGATAAATGGACAACTCTCTTCAAGAAACCGCCATACGAGAGCACTATAAGCCAAAATGGCAGACCAGCGGCCTGCTGAAGGGTTTCTTTAGACAAGGGTTTGCTGCCAGGTGTGTCCACCAGGTAAAATTCAATCTACAAAGGAGGACATTAGCAAAGCATGTTTTTTTATTTTTTGACCCTAGTACTCAAGGCAATTTGAGACTATGCTGGTCTGGAGCACGGAGTTGCCAAGCCTAGGGTACACAGGCAGGACCCTCGAGAAACAAGGTACCCTGGACCAGGGGTCCAGCAAACAGACCCCAGAAAAAGTGTTAATTCTCTGTACCTCTGCAGTACTCCTGCATTGACTTTAATGTATATCCTACTTTTGCCTCAAATGATAATGGGGTTTCTAGAATCATTTATCATTCCATGATATTTTTTAAGGAAAAGAGGAAACCAGGAAGGGAGAATGAGTGTCAACAAGTGAAATGAACCCAGAGAAATCTCGAGATGAGACACCTGATCCTTATTTCTCAGGCTGTTAGAAATTCCTAACAACAAAGGACCAGTTCTTGTGGCAGAATAATTAAGTAGAGTTTTGATTTTTGGCATATTTAAGAAGTTTAAAAACCAAAGTAACTTTAATTAAATGGATTATCTCTGGTGAATAGAAAGCAATTAATGATAATAATTTTATGTTAATAGAAATGGGTCCAGAACATAGACAAATAAGAATCAAATATGACTGTGGGTGTAAAAAATAAAAAAGACCCAAGCTAAGATTGAGTGGAAAAGGAAATCACCTGTATACAGTTTGAAGGGTTTATTAGAATCTGGACAGCCACATTTCAAAATCATAAGTAATAATATGTGGTTATATTTTCCATCTCAAAGTGCATCCGTTGCACTGTCAATAGAGCCGCTAGGTCGTATGGCTATGAAAGTGCACACGAGCGCTGCCTGGGTGGCTCAGTCAGCCAGGCGTCTGACTCTTGGTTTCGGCTCAGGTCATGATATCAGGGTTGTGAGATCGAGCCCCAAGTTGGGTTCTACGCTGAACACAGAGCTTGCTTCAGATTCTTTCCCCGTCCCTCTCCGTCCCCCTCAGCACCTACCCCGGCTCACACGCTAGCGCTCTCTCTCTCTCTCAAATAAATAAAATTTTTTAAAAAAGAAGAAGAAAGTGTCTCTAAAGTGTTTCTAAACCGTCAGACATGCTTATTGTCATTACGGCTTGTAATCATTCCAGGTGGGCTATACACATTCAGAGTCTAATTCGCATCCTTCCACACAGTTCCGTATAAACGGATCCGGGGATTTGCAAAGTATATACGGAACCAGTGATGCTCTCGATAAGCCTCCTCCTGTTACCCAGATTCAACCAGCTCCAGACTACCACTGCTCGGTTGTAACTGTAAAATGATAATGACTGTGCCTGAGCATTCAGCAGATGCAGTAACTTCATCTACTAGACTTCCAAGTACTCTACCTACTCTGTACTTAAGAGCATTCTAGAAGCCTGGTCTCACCAGGAATGCATTCACTGAATACATTGTTGAATTAAATTTGCATTAATGTTGCATTAATGTTGCATTAAAATTATAGTTGATAGCCATAAATGTTGAATATGGGTATGTAGTACATGTCTCCAAAGTGGGAATTAAGCACGAACGTATGTGTCAGGCTGGAGCGAAGTGTTAATATGGGGGTACGGTTATGACATTTCAGCTGTGAGTAAAGTGTTATATCTCCATGGTTTCTACAACGCAGCCTTGTTTTCCAACTGTCGCACACATTTCAATGCATTACGTTGAAAATGCTTTACGCATTACATTGAAAATGCAAGGTAGTTATTGCTACTTTGACGTATTAGATTTGTGTCAGACTGCATAGGTTTCTAAAGAATTTTAAGTATATACTCTTATGATTACAGAAACGCTGTGAGGCATAATATCTTTCTAGAAAGTAATAGGCCCAGATAGACCTAAGGCCTAGGCCATTATTTCGACCATTTAAACCCGGCCAAATCCTTCCCTCATACCTATCTCTCCCTCACATCTGTATCAGGTGTTAGCATACCACATTGCTACAATCAGGAATAATTCACTCTGTCGAAGCAATAGCAATAAAAAACAACTTCAGAAAAAAATACACTATAGCTTCTCACATTGTGCAATTTTATAACCATGTATTTTAAAATGCAGAATAAGATTATATACTTTGGCTTTGACACTCAAAATATATATTACAAAGAATAGCTAGCAATATAATTAAATTCTAAAACCCCATAAAAAAGAAACAGCTACTCTTTTCCATAGGCCGTTCCCTTTTTTTTTTTTTTGTTAACAATTGCAAAGTAAATTGTCCAGATTTTTCCCTCACTTATACTTTTCAAGCGAACAATAAATTTAAAATTCAGGATTCCCTCTGCCATGGAAATCTCTATTCTTCAGCCAAAATAATCAGAGAGGAGATCATTTCTTTTTTTTAAAGATTTTATTTATTTATGTGACAGAGATTATAAGAAGGCACAGAGACAAGCAGAGAGAGAGAGAGGGAAGCAGGCTCCCCGCCGAGCAGAGAGTCCGATGCGGGGCTCGATCCCAAGACCCTGAGATCATGACCTGAGCCGAAGGCAGAGGCTTTAACCCACTGAGCCACCCAGGCGCCCCGAGGAGATCATTTCTTTTAATGCTTTATGCTATCAGAATGTCCTGCCCCGTATTCTACTAAAACAATACTGTAGAGTTAAAACATACTTAGAGGGTCACGTGGGTGGCTCAGTTGGTTAAGCGTCTCTTGATTTTGACTCAGGTCATGATCTCAGGGTTGTGAGATCAGGCCCCCTATCAGGCTCTGCTGAGAGTGGGGTCTGCTTGAGATTCTCTCTCTTTCTCCCTTTCTCCTTCCCCCCATTCAAGCTTTTTCCCTCTAAATAAATAAATAAATAAAATCTTTAAAAAAAAAAATAGGAAGACAATGTGCTTGTCAGGTTCAAATGTGGGTACGCACCAAAGGGGACGCATCTTGCCTTCTCGATGGAGACAGCTCACTTTCCTTAGTTGCCTGCTGGCGCAACAGAGCTTTGAGCTGATTGACTGTGGAGGGAACACGATGGGTTTCGTTAGCCTCCCCCGGGCCCAGGGCTTGTCACCACCCACCCACACGTCTCTCCGTCTAACAAACACAGTGTAAACGTGTTTTCTGCATCAACAACTGCGCAATGGACGGGAGCGCCAAAGGCAAACAGGAGAAAACCGCTGCCACTGAAAAGCTGAGTCCACGAAGCAGGAGCGCGCCACGGACGGGTGAAAAAAACGGGGTAATACGTGCCCGTGTAGATCTGTAGCTATAGGCAGTGCTGGAAGAACAGGAAGCACCTAACCATGGCTGCTTTTACAGAGAGTTCACTCTGCGAAGGATGAGCAGATTAGGAAGCAGGAGAGGGTGAGAAAAATCCCATTTCGAAGGGATGGTGGACGCAGGGCCAGTGGGCCGCTGTGGCTAGAACATGGCTTGCAACATGGATGGCGGGGAGCAGGACAGAATTATGAACATGCAGAGGTAGCTTGCAGCCCCCTTAAGAAAATACTGCTATGACATTTAAAGGACTGTGGACTTCAGCCTACAGGCACCATGAGGTCAAAGGGAAAATATTCAGCAAGGGAACTGCACCAGCTAATTTTTGTTTCAGGAAGAAAATCACACCTGCAGAGTGGAAGATGGCCTGGAGTCCTTACGCTATGGAGGAGCTTAAAATAGTCACCCTGCGCCACTGAGACCAGGACTGATGTCCGTTCACACGCACCAGCATGGCTGTACTGCAGCTCCTGCCAGGCTGCCCTGGGGTCCTCACTGTCCACACCGGTGCCACACGGGGCGTCTGGTGCGCCTTCTCCAACACCACCGTTGCCTTCTCTCAGGGCGCTTTGCAGCTGGTGAATGCTTCTATTCGCCCGCTCTGCAACGACAACATGATGCAAATCAGCGCTGGGGACGTCTGGACGGCCACATGTACACTTATTCCAAAAGCCAGTTTCGAAAGGAGAAGTCATCGTGTCTCAGACTTTCTGGGAAAAAGCAGAGAGGTGTTTTTGGCTTTGCTGAGGACAGTGCTGAGGAAGAGAGAGATGAAGTCCATGCTCAGAGGTGAGGCTTGATGATCCCTAAGGACCCTGACTCATCCGTGGTGGACACTCAGCACACATAGCTCTACTTCCAAGGAAGACAGAATGGGTTAGATGCTCCCCACTCCACCCTCCCAACACCGACTCCACCCCAGAAAGGGCTCCTCTTCCCTCCCTGAGACACCAGGGTGGTGGGCAGAACTAGCCAGACGGACTCCACCACATCAAAGTCATGCCCAGGGAAGCCTACTTGAGCCTGTGAGCCAGAGGTCCCTCCTCAACAGAGAGACAGCCAGACTGTCTGGACTAGTTTTGATAAAGACCAGAAGAGCTAAATGAAATGCTTACAGTGCCCTCCTCTGTAGTGTTAGTCCCTCCAGTGTCCTGCGGGCTGACTGCACATCTATAGTGACTCTTGGTTAGTGGACCTCACCACCCCCAGGACCAAAGCTCTGACTCACTAGCACATACTTACCCTACAGCCTAAAACGAAGTTTCTTAGGGTATATTATACTATAGTAGTTCATCTCTCCAAATAGCGCCCCCCCCAAAACCAGGACTCTACCCTTGTCCCCTCCCAAGTTGAAACTAAGTTGGTAACTTGTACTCACCAACGGAATGCAGAAGTTACACCATGCCAGACCAGGCTTCATTTTTTTTTTTTTTAAGATTTGTTTATTTATTCGAGACAGACAGAGAGGATGCATGTGCTAGTAAGCGCCCACTGTGCACATGTTGCGGGGGGTATTACAGGGGAGGGAGAGGACCAGCAGACTTCCCACTGAGTGTGGAGCCCACTCGGGGTTCAATCCCATGACCCTGAGATCATGACCTGAGGAAACCAAGAATAGAGACCTTAACTGACTGAGCCACCCAGGCGCCCCCAGATTTCATTTTTTAAATGTCTGGTAGCTTCTGCTTCCTCCCTGCTGGAATGCTTATTTTTATGATTCCTAAGCCACTAAGTAGGAAGCTTGCCTACCCTGCTGCAGAGATTGTGGCTGGACCATGTGGCAAGGAGAGGCCCTGAGACCATATGGGGAAGGACAGAAGCCCAGCCCCGCTGACAGCCAGGGGAGCCTCCAGATGACTCCAGTGCCCGAGGCCATCTCATTGCAATGGTATGAAAGAGACAGGAAGAACTGTCCAGCTGCGTCCAGTCAACCCAAATGCCTTTAGTTGTTGCTGTCAGACACCAGGCTTTACAGTGGTTTGTTATGCAGCAATACAGACCTGAAATAATGATCCAGTGAAATACCCAAAAATGTTTTCAGCAAAGGATCCAAGTCTTTTATTAAAAACAGAATTATACTAATGACACCAGTGATGGCATTAGGAGAATCTATGCTACGTTATGGATATTTTCACATGTCTAACAACCAGAGAACCAGGCAATCAACTGGTAATTTCATTAATTAAGGTCCATTTATTTTTTCCATTTAAACTTGTTGTTTCTGCTCATCTCTTAGGATTGAATTCACTGGTTCCAATTTAGAAAACATTAACTACAACAAAAACTGTTCCTTTCACATTAGAGCTGGAACCCAGATTTCAGTCACCCTGTTCAAAGTTTGACATCTGTATTTGAAAGTTATTTTTTAATCCACTCATTAATTTACCAAGCATCTACATATATTTAAGATGGAAATGTATGTTCGGAAAATGATGAATTCCCATGCAAATTCATCTACATCTATTATCTATTTATTTTTTTAAAAGATTTTATATATTTGTGAGAGGGAGAGAGAGACAGGGGCAGAGGGAGAAGCAGACTCCCCGCTTGGCAGGGAGCTCCATACAGGGCTAGATCCAGGACCCTGGGATCACAATCTGAGCTGAAGGCAGACAACCGACTGAGCCACCCAGGTGCCCCTATTTCTTTACTTTTAAAGGCTATATTTATATATTGGAGAGACTGAGAAAGCAGGTGCACATGGCGCACCACACACACGAGTGGGGCGGGGTGGGGAGGCAGAGGGAGAGGGAGAAGCAGACTTCCTGTGGAGCAGGGAGCCTGACATAGGGCTAGATCCCAGGACCCTGAGATCATGACCTGAGCTGAAGATAGAGGCTTAGGCAACTGAGCCACTCCAGTGCCCTATCATCTATTACAAATGAACTCCATTGAAACAATCCTTAAGATCTTTGAGGGAAGGAGATGGTACTTTCCCTGAGAAGGTCCCTAAGAAGGAACAACTCTTAACAATGATGGCCAGTGACATTCTTGTTCTTCTTTGACAATTTAGGTCTATTTCTTCTTGTGTCCTCAGGAGAAAAGCTCCTCATCTTTGCTGCCTACATAGGAACCCTAAGAGAGCTACAAAACAACTATCTTTTCATTACCAGTCATGGATGAAAATATATTTACAAACATATATTCTACAGGACCTTGAAAAACAGATTTTACTTTATCCAAGCTCATTAATTTCAAAGTTTAGAACAAAAAAAGTAACTGTAACTCAGTTTAAAAAAAAAATACACACACACACACACTACTCTGTGTTATAAAATATCTGACATAGGTTCTTTGCTTAGAGTAACTCATTTTATTTCCTAATTAAGAAAATAAGCCTTTCAGGTCAGGGGTTGGACAATGAAATTTTATTACTAACTACACAAGAGACTCAGTGAATTTATCACTACATTTCTCTCCACACACCAATCCTATTTTCACACAGACCTTTGTCTGACAGGCCTTTGTGCTGAATACTAATCAAGCCTGGCCTCCTCTTACTCATCATGAGTTTTGCTTTTTGGGGTGGTTTGGGGTTTTTTTTTTGTTTTGTTTTTTACTCATCATGAGTTTAAGAAAAACCCAGATAAGACACATTTCTGGTTTTAGAAAAATAAGAAGTAGCAGTTTTCCAACAACTTAGTATTTTCTAAAGAGATTTATTAATGGAAAAGGAAAATCAAAGTGTTACATGGTAAGCAATTTAGTTCCCAGAGCTTTAGACTCACATGCGTAAATCTATGAATAAAGCACTTACCTTTATTACATCCATTAGAAAGGAAACAGAGGGACTGACTAACATTCAAAGTGTGCCCTGTGGAGCTATGAAATGACTTTTTCTAAGATAAAGGATAATTATTTATTTATACCTAATTTGACTAAAAGCTAAAAAGCTGTATTAGGAAAAAGAAAGGAAATCCGGAAAAAATTCACAGTTGAAAAATCTCTATACATAGAGTTCTTTTATGAGATTACAATGTTGGCGAGTTTTGAGCTCATTTAACCCCTTTTCCAATATCCCTCTTTACTCTTTTAGAATTTATGACAGTCAAAGACTATGTGTTAAAATTACACTATGAAAACAGTTATTATATGAAATGGTGAGATAGTGAAATCAACAACTCTCCCGAGGAAAAGTTATAACCAAGATATGGGTTTTTTTTGCAATCACTGACTTCAGTTACTAGGATCAGAGAGGAAGAGAAGGAATTTGCAGAAACTGTGTCCTAAAACTAAAACTAAAAAGGGAAGTGATATTTTTAAGTCATTTCAATAGTATATTTCAAAATACTCCACATGCTCTTCAGGTATAAAACAGAAAGAGTTAATCCCGAGGAATAATAATGCTTAGATGGTTCAAAACAGATGAAACCCTATTGCTCTTCAGCTGGAACCACCGCAATCCAAAGTCCTATAGTCCTTACAGAAAACACTAAACCCCACATGCCATTATCTGCTATAAACCGGATTAGACAGGAGGTTCTGGTTATCATTTCCTATCCCATTGTGAGTGGGCAAACTTTTTCTGTCCACAACCAAGAGACGAAAAGAATACTCATTTCTTCTTCTCTCCAGAAAGGACAGTACGAGTATTTCATAATGCATCCTGATTTCTTATCCCCAGCACCAACCATAGCCTGAAAATAAACTTAATTATCAATACAAACCCAAATAGGACCTCTGAGTCCCAAAGCAACACATGAACATAAAAGTAAGTAGTGGGGCGCCTGGGTAGCTCGGCGGGTTGAACCTCTGCCTTCGGCTCGGGTCACCATCTCAGGGTCCTGGGATCAAACCCTGCATCAGGCTCTCTGCTCAGCAGGGAGCCTGCTTCTCCCTCCCCCTCTGCCCGCCTCTCTACTTGTGATTTCTCTCTCTGTCAAATAAATAAATAAAATCTTAAAAAAAAAAAAATAGTAAGTAAGTAGTATTTCTGGAGGTCCACTACTCATATATCAATAGTACAATGAGCACCACAAGTGAGCGAGCTGCTGACTATTGGTCCATTTCAGTCTGTCTTAACCATTCTCATGGTCCAATCCCACCCACCCATTTTCTCTCCCACGTTACCATCAGGCCTCTCTTCACCAAGGTGTTTTTGAACAAAAGGCAAATAACATCCCAGTTTAGGAAGGTTCATCCCTTATATATGGACAGTGAATTATTCATGTCTCCGTTCTCCATCTGCACAGGGTGATGTGAACAGGAATTACCCCGGTGACTGGGTGGGGGGAACCACTCCCCAGGCAGCACCCAGATGTCTCTGAGAAACCAAGCAATGAACCAGACCTCCCTAGGCTGAGACTCGAGATGCACCCCGGTTCTTAAAACAAGCTGAGACCAGGGCAAACAAGCAGAAAAATGAAACCACAGCAAGATAAGAGATACATGTGTCTGTCCACACTTGACTGGGCTTCAGCTAGTCAGAAGATTGTTGTCGCCCTTTACTAGGGGACTGACAGCTAGCACAACCAAGATAAAAACAGCCTAATCCAAAGTCAGAGAAAGCCAGCCTCGGAAATGACAATTACAGTAGTGAAAGGGATTAAAAGTAACATGCATAAATGAAAAAAACATCGAAAAGAAAAATCTCTCATAAAA